TATTTCAATATAGTATGTATTTATAATAGCAAGTACCCTGCCTGGTATTCCATATATAATAATAGCAAGCAGTCAAGTGCACTGGGGAGATGGGGGCACTGGGGAAGACCCAGTGCCTTTTAGCTCTTCAGATTTTTACTTTCAGTGGCAATTATATTTTGGAGGGTACTGCTTACAAGATAAAATTTGCATTTATTTGAGCAACTCACAAATGGGATTCACTGCAAAGCTATCATTAAAGGGAAATAATGCAGAAGAAGGAACAAAGGATACGTTCTCAGCCAAGGCTGACATGTAGACACTTTCAGAGATCCTTGATGCCATAGGAAAAATGCTGTTTTCTCACTCTACCATGGCCTCCCAAAATCCTGAAAACCAAGCAGTTAGGTACAGGGGCTGCTCATAAAGTGCTGTGACTGTTCAGCTGTATTTTTGTCTATTTGCAGTGTTTCTACCTTGCAAGCAGTGTAGTCATTTCTGTGATCATTCCTGTCTAGAAGCAGTTTCTCTGTTCCAGTTCAAAGCATCAGAGCCCATTTTCTGTGAATGGCTTCCAAGGAGGGGGACTCTGGCATCAGGTATTCCTGATGTGCTTTTGGCTTGTGCAAATTTTGCCACTCTACTGCAGGTAGCTGGTAGGAGCTGAAGGAGTCACTTGAAGTTTGGCTGTACATTACTCTTCCTCATCTTCTTTTAACTGATCTGGATTAGTGTTTTCTCCATTTGCACGTGTCCATGAGCAGTAAACCCATAAATTTATTCAGCCTTATAACCATGTTAGAGAAGCTCTAATAGGAGAAGGCGAGATGTTTTCTTCCCAGCACAGCCAGTGTGGTATTCATCCTGCTTTTTCCTTGCAGTACAGCCTGAGCTCTGGCACCCAGGGCACTCTGCCATCCTGTCTGCAGTGCCTCATGCTGTGATTTGGCAGTGGTGATGCTCCCTCCAGGTGATTTCTCTGCATTGTGCTGGGCCAATGCTGGTTTTGGTGCTGCTCCAGTCCCAGCTGAGGGGCTCAGGTGTACTTCTCATATGATCTTCATGTAATGAGACAGACTTCTTCCTATGAACCTGTAGTGGGTGGGTGGGGAAGGAATATGCCTTAGAATTGCTAGACCTTACTGCCAAGTCAAAATTTACAGAAGTTACAGAATTTTCTGAGTTGGGAGGGACCCACAAGGATCATCGAGTCCAACTCTTAAGTGAATGGACCACACAGGGATTAAACCCACAATCTAGGTAATATTAGCACTATACTCTAACCAGCTGAGCTAATCTCAGGGTCAAGTCCTTGAAGATTAGGATCACGCTTTCTAGTGGAGAATTCTTCAGATTTCACTTGTCTTTGAAGAATTGTCACTGTACAATGCACCAGTCTTGATCTGATAGTTTAGCTGCAGAATGACACCCAACTAGGGAGCCATGGGTAAAATCTAAGAAATGAGACTTTACCACAACCTCTCTGACTCCTCACAGGTATGCTTTGATGTAGTTAGCTTTATGCAGACTTCTGGAAACTTCTTTTGATGTCTGTGTGGGCCCCATATTACTTAGTCCTTACCTTCAGAAGTCTGGGGCATTACTGGACAAAACAAGGGTCTGCTCCAAGCTGTCAGATTCCTTTCTCCATTGCCTCTCAGCTGCCCCATTTAATACTGTCTGATGGTGAATAACACACAGAAACAGGTTGTCGAGAGAGGCGGTGGGTGCCCCATCCCTGGAAGTATTCAAGGTCAGATTGGACAGAGCTCTGAGCAAGCTGATCTGGTTGAAGAGAGAGGTCCCTGCTCTTTGCAGGAGGGTTGGACTAGATGACCTTTAAAGGTCCCTTCCAACTCAGACGATACTGTGATTCTGATTGTATGGTAGATACCACGACATTCAAAATAAGTGAGAATGTGGTAGGGAAAAAAGGTAGATGAGATGGGTGTGGCTGGAGACTTGACATGGGGAGCTGAAAGTCGGCCACAATATACAGGAGGGTGGGCAGACATTTTTCCTGAGTACATATCATGGAATCATGCATGTAGGGATCTGCCTCTACTAGTCTTTCTTTGTTAAAGAATTCCGCTGTTAGATTCCAGTGGTCCTAGCACTCAACCCAAACATTCCCATGAAAAAGAAACACAGGTCCTCCCAATGAAGCTGCCAGTGGCCTGGGGTAGAAAATTGTGGAGAAGTGAAATTTTTATTTCTGGTTGTTGCTGTTCTCTTTGTGCACTTAGTGCTACAGTACCAAGCAAAGGTTTGTCTAGACCAGAGCTCAGGGCTACTTATTTTCCTCATAATCCATTTCCTTTTGCCAACAGCAGTGGCTTATGTGGCTAAGTCAGAAGGGAATGCTCCCATCACAGACAGCTTCTTTTCTGTGATCTTCATTAAGCTTTGGGCCATTAACTCAAGATGCGTGATTATTTTGTTTGTTCGAACAGCAAGACAAGCAGAGTCTCCTCTGTGTTTCTTTCAAGCAAACCAGCATGACTGAAAACTGGGAGCTTGCCAGAAAACGTTACGTGAAATAGTAGTGGCAGGTTCATCTTAGTGTGGGCGGAGAGGGAGCGATGTACCCTCTCTTTTACTGCTTCAAACGTGCAGTGTCCATATGCCATAGCTGAGTTGGTTTATGGATGGAGAATGAAGGATACTACTCCATCTCCTTCATGCAAACACTGTGTGAGTGCTGGGGAATATAGAATGATATGAGTATCAGCTGTTGCTGCAGTCCAAACACACAGCATTAGCATGCAGTATGCTATAGACAGTACAGTTTTCCTCCTTTATATTTAGTGTTAGTACACAGAGCCAAATACTAAAAGGGGGGTGGGTGGGTCACATGATGAAATTAATACCATTAATTATTTAGAAACAATCAAAGGAAATACAAGACATCTGGCTTTAAGCCCAAACAACTCATGGCACTGCTGTTGCCTTGTAACCTCATCAGCTCTTAGTCCAGTCATCTCTCTTCTTTCATTATGAACACAGGAGATGCTTCCCCCCTACCCCTCCCCTTCCCCACCCCTCTTTCCTGCCTTATTTCTGGCAGCTTGGAACACAGATCACAAGACCGAACTATATAGTTTACTGATTTTGTGTGTATGAACCCTGATTCGTTCTGTGGTGAAAAGGCATCCCCCCACATCCCCACGCTATACAATAGTGTTTGATTAGCAGTGTGTTGCAGCCATAGATCACGTTTTTCTCCTCATCTTGATACTGGGTAGTAGCTGCTGTAGGAGGAAAAGGCACTGTTGCTGCTGTAGTGCTAAAAGTCATCAAAAACACGTGTTGCAGTAGGCTGTGCACAACATGCGGTGAGAGACGGTTCCTGCCCTGGAGGCTCTACGTCGGCAAAAAACTGGAGCAGAACAAACATCCCAGCAAATGGAGGTGTTGTGCCCATGATTCTGCAAGAGAGCTGTGGCAGACCCAGTCCGCTGGCCTTGGCGTTCACCTCCCCCTGGCTGAGGCCAGTGGTCTTATCCTTTGTGGCCATAGCCAGGTGTTTTTCCATCAGACTGATCTTTCAGTGAAATTCTTTTTCCTGAAATGAAAATTTTCTTGGGGAATAACTGTTTTATCCAAGAAAAGTCAAATAAATATTTGCCAACTGCTGGTTCTGAAAGGCTCATTACTCTTTTTTCCACCCCTCCTTTTTCCAGGATAGTTGATGAAAAAATTCTGTTTTGGTTATCCGAGAGGTGTATTTTTGTGGAAAACCCTTCTTATGAGGAAGAAAGACCCACTTCACTGGGTCTTCATTCTTCCAACTCAAGAAGAGAACATTTTGGGGTCCCTTTCCCTCAAGTGATTATATCATCATGATAAGATAGTTCTATTTTCTCTTCAGCTCGGTCTTTCTTAGTATAGATGATTTAATACAGTTTTATTATGAGGTTCTCATCTTCCATAGGCAAATTAGGACATACAACTTCCTGAAATGGTTTTATTGGGGCAAAGCAAAGTTTTTGCTGGTCATTCTACTTTTCTCTACATTGGTGAATGTGGGCCCATTTTGATGGCTCAAATGCTGATGTATTGAAGTCATTCTCATTACATCTTTGTCTGTGGAGAAGCCTTTTCATTTCTTTCTTTTCTTGCTTTAATCTAAAAAGCATAGATTCACTGACTGTTCTCTTAATGGTTGTTGAGAGTTGCTTTGAAGAACTCTTATTTTATGAAAAGGCACTGAGACTTCTGTCACAGTAAGCATCTCCTGACAGTCTTTACCTGCTCTTTACTACTATTTTGAAGATGCACATTCCCAATTATCTGTGAAAAAGCATTGAAATATGCTTTCTTGGTTCTGGGAAGCTTGCTTTAGACTACTGCTCTCTATTATTTGTAGTATTCCATAGTCTACTCTTGTCCTCAGGAAACAATGGCATCAGTTGAACATATTGGGTGTGATTTTTCAAAGTATGCAGTTACCCTCATTTGGTTCCTTCTGCATTCAGTGTGTGTTAACACTACCTTCAACAAAGGCAGAGTTAGGCCTATGCAGAAGGCTTTAAAAACAGAAAATTAAGCCCACCTCTTGCACTCTGGGCTATTTGTAGGCAAGAACATATGTTATCAGCACTTCTGCTGCTTTTCAGGGTGTTTGCTAAAGGTGCTTAGACTCTTCTCTGAGTAATGGAGTAGTTAGTTTTGATGCTATAATAGATTTGTTTCTTTTATATTGTCCCTTTAAGTTTATCATTAAACATATTTTATCTCCTGAAATTAAATTTAAACAAAAATTCTAGTAAACTAAAAAAAACATCGAACAAACAACCAAAAAAACAAAAAACCCCACAACCTCTTAGATTAAGCTGTTCCAAGGTTTTATTTGTTTCCTTATACTAAAGCCAGTACTTTTTATTTTGTTTTCCTCAGCTGTAGTCATGAAGTACAGTTTCTTGATTACGTAAAACTTACAGTTTTATTTTCCTTTTTTCTTCTCTCCCTTTTCTTTTCCCTTTCCTGACATCTGCATCACATGTTGATGTCAAGAGCAGCAGCGGTTGGCAGTTTTCCTCAACTTTGCGAGAGAGAGAGAGATTGTGTTGGAATGAAACCTTGCTCTGCGTGCAGCCTGCTTGAGATGCAGCATTGAAAGGTATAGTCTCATTTTCTGTCTTGAAACCAGAGATGAAAACCACAAACAGGTAGAAATCTTGGTGCCAAACCACCTGTTGAGTTGCAGCCGAAAGGCCTTTGGCAATGCTTTCCTCGCTGTATCCAGTTGGAACATGTTACATGGCTGATTCCCACAGTATCTGTCTGTACCTGTGAGTTTGGTAAAGAGGCTAATTCATTGGAGAAGATTGGGATTGAAATTCAGTTAGAGTTAGCATGGCAAAGAATCTTCTGCTATTAGTCTTGCTTTTTTGCCTGGAGTAGCATACATCGCTCGTGTAGCTCAGTTCAGCATTGAAAATACCAATCCCGAAGTCACATGCTGTGTATTAGAGAGAAAAATGAGATTTGTTGAAACAGCTTTGTGTGGAGTCCAGATCTGCAATAGCATGATATCCTAGAGGTCAGAATTGAGGTGACTGGATGAAACTGTGAAGACAAAAGTTGTGAAGTACCCTGCCGGCAGCATCAGTACTTCATCTTTTGAGGGTATTACAATTCAGAAAATGACTTGAAATCAAGTTAAAATGCTATCCTTGGACTGCTACACATATGCTCCCTGTGACATACGCATTACAGAAACAGCCACTGTGTGTTAATATGGCATTACAATTTTGGACTCCACCCACAAAAATTAATAACATTCTTCAAACAAGAGTGATGTAGGATGCTGACACATTTAAGCCCATATGTTCTTGGACTTGTGTCCTCCAGTGCATGAGAGAACTAGAAATCCCATCATTTTTCTTATTTCCTGTAAAGCCATGCTGGTAAACTAGTAGAATGTAAGTGCTGGCAGGCTGGCGGCTGGCAGGGTTTGGACCATGAATAGCTGAACAGTAGAGCCATATTTTATACTTTTACATGCTCTTATGTGTCCTATTCTGTTAGTGGTACTAGTTAACTTTCATGGGTTTGCACAACCATAATTTAGAACAGATTTGGGCCTCGCTATTTATATTTGTGCAGATTGCCTCATGTTTGTGAAACAATCATTTCCTGTGGAGCTGTAGCATTGTCCAGTGTTGCAAAATGCTTTCATATGTATATATGACTGGTTAAAACATGAAATGTGTTTTGAAGCAACATGACAAAGAGCAGTAAAATCTGCACAGTAACTGAGCTTTACTTGGCTGTCCATACAATGTCCAATTAATGCGGTTACTGTGCTCTGAAGTCCCTCCAAGGCTGAATAAGACATGCTGTGGCCTTGTAAAAGATGCATTTTCCCTGAATTTTCTAAAGATTCCCATTACAGATGCTACAATGACATGAGGACAGCGTAATCTGTATCTTTAGCAGCAGTAACAATGCAGGGTGTGAAGTATATCCCCAAAATCTGAAGGTGTGAATTCTAACCCATCAGCGAGCTGTGTGAGAATTCTATAGAGTAAAACCTAATTCTGTGCTGAAGAGGAACACTGTGAACACCCAGCATAAAATAGAAGATGTTCTGTTCACTACTGCACTGTCTTGAGCCAAACTTGGGATCTAAAAGTCAAGAGAGGTTCTTTCATCACCAGTCATAAAGATGCTGTAAGTCAGATTGTCCCCTCAGGCTATATTTTGACAATGTAGTAAATTGAGCTTTGGGAACTTTCTACCAGATCGAGAACTCTGTCACCTCAAAATGCAAAGCACAGATCCATTATAAATTCTCTGATGCAGTTTTAAAAATACATTTCGATGTGTTGACTTCTAGCAGCAAGCTCTGTGCCTTATCTGATACCCTTTGTTCCTTGCTGCTAGCATTAACACATACAAGAGCTGGCAGAAATGGCATCTCGTGCCCTCATATGATCCAGGTGAAGTCTGTACTGTGGAGTTATACATTAGTGCAGTCTGTTAAAGTTTCAGTGATAAAGCACCATCAACTCAGTTACTTCCCCGCATTTTGTTGTCTTTCTATTCTTCCTTTAGTCCTGGAAGGTGGCACCAGCATCAGGAAGTACAAAACTTGATTTATGTTACAAATGGAATCAGAAAATGTCGTGGATTTTGTAGATGTGTGCCAACACTTCCAATCCCGTGAACTGTGTTGAGAAGAGTGAAAAAACCCAAGTGCTCTTTCTTGCACAAAATGAAGACTGGGAACTACAGAAAAAGTACATGGCCAAATTCCTTTTTGTCTAAATTCTAGAGAAACTAATGAACAGGCAAACCTTCAGAGTTTTGATTTGAGGACGAGTTTGGCCAATATTAAAATTCATCTAAAATTCTTACTGTTTTGTTCTGCCTTCCTCCCCTTTGCTTTTCTCTGTTGTGTGATGAATGTACCATGTCCACATCTTGTGGCTGTAGCTTTGTGTTTAAAGCCACACTAGCACAATGAATGTCTTTAGTAAATTATATTTCAGAATTCTTCCAGGGAATGTGCAGTTTGGAAAGGCAGAGCTGCTTGCAAAATCTTCAATTTCAGAAATGTTCTGTATTTGAATGTATATGGTTTCCTTGAACTTGGTGTGCCAAAATGATTCTCAATCTAAGGTTCTTGGTCTACTAGAAAGAAGAATAGGGGAAGAGGAGGGAAGAATTTTGTAGTGAGATTTTTGACACTGCTGTGTCAAAAAACTTATTGTTTCCTGAAGTTTTAAGAAGTTTTCAATTTGTTTTCCTTCCCTCTCTAACCTAATTAATTTTTAGGGATATCCCCAGGGATGTAATTTATAAGACAAATGAATTACATTAGAAGTTGCTGTCATGGTATAGGCCCCCTTGTTTAGGGTAAATTTAAAATGTTTCTGTATTCTTTCCATCTGTAAATACTGATCTACCAGTGACAGTCTGTTTTCTTTATTTTTCGGAAAATTTTGTTGTCAGTGTGGAAAATAGAAAAAACATGGATGTTAAAAAGGAAAAACATTGCTGTAATTCAGCTGTGGCTAGGAAAAACCTTCTGAAGTGGCACTAGCAGAGAGGTAGGGCTCTTTGTTTTGACTTTTTTGTCTTTAAAAATAGTTTTTTTTAGAAAATAATAATATCTAGTCAAATAATAACTAGCATACAAGTCAACAGTTTTCTGCTTACTGTAAAATAAAAACATTCACCCTCGAGAAAGAATTTTTAGGAAGGATAAGCACATACCAGTTGCATTGCTCTGTTCAGGACTGTCCCAGCTGCAGTGTTTGTATTGGAGAAGATGCTTAACCTTTTGAAGGCCTTGTACTGTACAGCCTTTTTAAAATATCCATGCAACATGCATTCAGCCGGGTAGTATACACATTAAAACATTTACATTGGGCTTCCAGGGCTGTGCATTCTTTTCTGAAAGATTAAGGAGACACAAGGGATAATTGCTGCTCCTGGTAAAAACAGTAGGCGTTTTGAGAGCAGGAGCAAGTTTGCTGTAAATTCAGGCCAAAATACAAGTTTGGAATTTATTTGGATTCCAAAGTTTTCCAGTAGCATTGCAGCTAGGTCTTTATTCCTGAGGTTGGATAGTGACACTGACTTTCCTTTTCACAGAGAATGAAATGCAGAAAATAATTTAAATGAGGGTAAAACAAAGTGTGGTGCATCTTTAGCAATTTTTGTTTTGATTAGATGGAATAATCCAAGAAGAGGTCTTAGTTCCTAAAACCGTAGTAAAACATAGCAAAAAAAATCCCAACATAAATTCAGCAGAATATCTAAGCCAGTGTGTAAATCTCAGCTTGTGCTCTAGTGCCTCTGCCTGGCATGGGCTTTCTGACCCCACCATGGCCAGGTTCCAGCTGCTCACCCCCACCCTCAACAGGATTTGGGGAGCATCTTTCAGTAAGTGTGAGGAACTGCCTGGGAAATTTGCCTCAGGAGATGATAGCAGGGAAAGGGTGTTGTGCAGGGAGCGTATTTTGAAACACTGGATGCACTTTTTTTAGTTTTCTATTTCCATCCTGTGTTCCCAGCTTTTCTAAAGGAATCCTAAGTGATTTCAAAACAGAATTACTTCACTAGCAGTTGTGTGGCACTCATGAATATGGTGAAGCCTGACACTCCCTGTCTCGTTTTTTTCTGGAGGTGTTCAACAGTCTTACGGCATTTTAAAAATCTTCTTTCTATGTCCAGATAGCATTGTCTTTACTTAAAGATAAGGTTCAGAGGCAAACATAAAACATTTATTAGGTCTGCTCTAACTCTGACTTTTTCCTTTTTTTTTTTGAGATGCTAAATTATTTTCTTTTCCTTTCACAAATTATAGCAAACACAGTGCTATCCCACAGTCCCCATGCTTCAGTTTTAAAATGGATCAAGTTTAGGTTCTGACATAATTGGCAGAGTACCATCATTTTTCTACCCCTCCCTCAATCTGGGCCATAATTGTGGATATCCTGTGGACTGCAGCCCAGAGACTGCCAGTGCTGGGAGCATACGGAAGGGAAGAGATGATGGCAATAGCTCTGTAGCTTGACCTGACATTTGCATTGTTTCTCAGTCACTCAGTGTGATGAGGGAGCAGAGGGTTTGGCATGAACTGTAAGAAACTGGCCATGATTTGGAGGAGCAGTCTCCCCTGCCTGGCTCTGATGTTATTAGTAGGTGCCGTTTGCAGTTCAAAAAATATAATACAAAGAAGGGGTATTTTAAATAAAGGGAGAGAAAGCAAATAGATAGAGAAAGTCATACTCTAGGTAATTCCACTGCTTGCAATGAGGTTTCACTGGGGATAGATATTGACCCCATAAAATCCCTGGGTCACAGACAGCCTTATGACAGACCCTGATAGCTTTGTGAAGACAGATTATGTCAAGCCCTCAAATTTGGAAACGTAGCAATTCCTCTGTAGTAAGATTGCAAATGAACACCCATTTGGAGATTGCCAACATTATCACAGTTTGTCAGGGTGATCTCACAGCCCACAAAGCGCCGTAAGAGATTGCTTTACAAGTTCTGAAAGATTAGAGCGTTGAAGTATGTGACACTGGAACGATGCTTTGATGCCTGGCTTTGTCAGTCATCCAGACAAATAAATAATATCCAGTGTTTTTATTAGTGTAAAGC